ATTGTCTTTACTTTTGAATAACTAAAAAACACACTTTCACTTTCTATGGTGAGAAGTTAAACATTTTCAGTTTACATTGTCTCATATCACAAATGCTATAAAGTCCTACTTCAGTCAATAGCTTGCAATATCTATGCTATTAAATAAAAGTATGTAGACAAATTTTGTAACTTGCATGCAATTATGGCATTATTTTAAAATAAGTGTTATGGTGGACAGAGGATTAACCAACGGGCTGTGTAACACTGAAGGGCCAAATGAAAATGCCATAACTGGTGCTTAAAGGAAAGATCATGGATTTGTTAATATACAAAAGGGTGCTTATTGGTCATGTCAATATAACTGCACAAGCAGCCAAACACGCACACACACACACACACACACACACATGTTGTGTTTCCATGTTTTATGGGGACATTCCATAGGCATAATGGCTTTTATACTGTACAAACTGCATTTTCTATCGCTTATACACCAACCCTACACCTAAACCTACCCATCACAGGAAACTTTATGCATTTTTAGATTTTCAAAAAACTTCATTCTTTATTATTTATAAGCTTGTTTCCTCATGGGGACCTATCCTTGTGGGGACATTTGGTCTCCATCATGTGATAAATACCAGGTACACACAACACACACACACACACGACCATGATTTTGAAAACAAGTTATTATTTATTTTTTTCATAGTTGCAACGCTATTTGCTGTCTCGCAGTGTTGCTTTGAGCGTGATTGGTTAATCTGACCGTCACTCAGGAATCTGGCCAATGACTAGTGAGCGCGCCGTTTTCGCGGTTAAATTTGAAAATACACTGTTGCAGTGTGTGCCGCTGATCGGCTTCTGCAGCAGTCTGCTTCGGTTGGTTCACTAGTAATGGCTTTTACATGGCTTATTTAACGTCTGACTGTTTAATTCATATTTTGAGCGAGTTTAGGTTGTGGGATGACGATTGAGAACAAATAAACGCGAACATGGACACAGAGTTCCAGCAGCTAACAGACATGCAAACTGCAAAAGGTAAGTAATGATTTGTAAAATAACAGTGTTTCTCTGTAGAACATTTAGTGCTTTCATTGTAATAATCTAGGAAAAATCTGTAAAATAAGGGTTTTACACTGTAAAAAAAAGTCCTGTAAAAAAAATTGTCAAAAAAGTAAATTATCGTAATTGAAACAAGGAAAAATCTGTAAAAGAATCTGCCAGTCATTTACGAGTTTTTTTTTTTACAGTGTGTAAGTGGCCCTCAGAGAACAGTACAAAATAATTTTAAAAGGTAGCCTGCACAATAGAACTAACTAATACTTAAAAAAAAAAAATTTTTAAATCTTGGCTTAAGTAAAGCTTAATGGTATGTTTCTACATATACCATTTTTTTATTTTACAGGTTGGAAGGTCACTGAATAATCCTATTAATTAACTTAATGAACTTGAAATTCAGAATAGAATTAATTAAAATTGGATTTAATTTCATTGTGAATTGTTCTGAATTCACAAAAATCGTTCATGAATTGAATTGAAAACCTATGAATCATGAATCGAATCTTTTGTCTGTCTACACAGTCTAAGAGTCACACCAATACTTATTATTAATTTGCCCATATTAGTAAATAACTAGAAGAATAACAAAAACGGTAAATTATTTGCATTAAAAAACAGTGTATTTATGAAAACAAGAATAGAGATTTTTTTGACTATTCAAAACGAACCCATAAAAATTAGGGAAAAAATGACCAAATATCAGAAGGGTTCAGTAAAGAACCTCACATACCTTCTTTATAATCTGAGTCAATTTGTTTTTTGATGTCTCCCTTCCATTTGGTTAGTTTGCTGGATGTGACAAAAAAGGTGAACAAAGCTCCAAAAAAGCTCATGTTGGCCATAGTAAGAACAAAGCCAACCAGCATCGCTGCAAAGAGATGAAGATTTGTTAATTTGCAATTTATTAATCTAGTCACATTATCATCAGTACAATCCACAGCTGATGAATTAATGAAGTTGATGAATCTGAGGTTTGGTGTTTAAAGCCACGTCTTCAAAATTAGAACACATTGTTTTCCATGAGTGTAAGCACATCAGTGGCGCCGAACTACGAAGGCTGTGCAAATTCCTGCTGCGCCACAGAGCACCACTCACATAGTTTTTCATTAAATTACATAATATTTGTCCCAAATGACTTTAGGCCAGCAAAAATGTTGTATTGTTTAAATGTTTTCTTTCTGTGGCTTAAATAAAGTCTGTATGCATCATATAGCGAACTATATAATAATAATATAGAGCACCCTTTCTCTTTATATTTGCTGTTTTTTCAAACACCTAACTTCAAACTCATTCTTGAAGTTAACTTTTGCCTGTTAGGTGATTAACTGTTTTGGACTGCCGCCTTGAATTGAACGTGGCGTGTCCAGTGTGTGATATCCGTGAGTTGTCCTAGCTGTGATGTGACACTGCGTGGTGTTTCTCGTCTTGTGTGTATCTCTATTATGAGATCGATGCAAGAGCCTAGAAGAGATTTGTGTCCACGCTTTTTGGTTTTGCCCTGACTTGTCTGAATTTTGGTAGAACATATTCTTGTGTTATTCACACAAACTGGATATGCATCCTCATGTTGATTTCACTCTTTTTGGACTTTTGATCTGACAATTGCATTGCCGCATTGTCAACTGTCAAACTGTTGATGGAATGGAAATCCACCTCACCACCTAGCTTTCATGAATGGCTGGCTGAGATGGTTGCTTTCCTTAAATGTGGAAGGATTTGTTTTTCCAAGATCGGTGCTTCTTAAAAAATTGATTGCTATCCTCCTCAAGTAAATTCCTCCAAAAAGAGTAAAAAACTCAATACTTGAAATTCATTATGTATCCAAAAAAGGATTACATGCTGAGATACTAGCAATCTTCTATTATTTTTACAAGTGCAAAAAGTGTTCCTCCTCAAGTAATCTTTTAAGAGCTGAAGATGTATAGTGCATTTGTCATATACAATCATTTTATTTTGTCTGATTTTTTCCTCATTTCCTATGTACTTTTTGTAGATAATGATAATGGACGGTTTTGTTCAGGGTGTTTAATTAATGCCATAATCTGCTGTGTATTTGGTTAGGATGAATTAGTTTAGATCAGTTTTTCCCAACCCTGTTCCTGGAGGCACACCAACAGTACACATTTTGGATGTCTTTTTTATCTGACCCATCCTTTTCAGGTCTTGGAGCCTCTAGTAATGAGCTGATGAGTGGAATCAGGAGTGTTTGATTAGGAAAAGCTTGAAAATGTGTACTATTGGTGTGTCTCCAGGAACAGGGCTGAGAAACGCTGGTTTAGATTGTTGAGGGTAGGGCTGGACAATAATTCAATATCAATATGTATCGCGCAAAAGATTTCTATTTCAGATAAATAGTGTTCATATCGATATCGGAATTATATCGTATCTACCGAAATTAAGAAATATATCGTGATATCAATTTTGGCCATATCGTCCAGCCCTAGTTGAGGGTTTTGTTTTTGGTTTTTTAAGAGCTGCTTTGGGACATATTATGGTAGATTATCCCATTACAACCTATAACCAGGGTTGGGAGGGTTACTTTTAAAATGTATTCCGTTACAGTTACAAATTACTTCATTAAAAAGTATTCAGTAACGTAATCCAAGTACCACAATATAAAAGTAATGTAATCTGATTACTTTTGGATTACTTAAAGTTACATATGTAAATAAGTCAAAAAAGCAATATCTAAGTAGGCTACTTTTATTTAACTCTGACTTTAAAATTAAAACTAATAAAAACTATAGTAAAACCTATTTGAAACTATCAAAAATCGTGTCTTGTTTCACCATCTAGAATCTAGATATTACAGCCCGTATATTTATATAAAGGCTATGCAGACATCTAGTGGCTATACAGTTTAGTATTACAGTTTTATTTTTATTATTATTAGTTTTACTTCTTTAACATGTAGCCTACAAGTAAAAATAAATATAGTTTATACACAACATTTAAAAATGTACACCACATACATATTAGTCTATTTTAAAACAACCCTGCATATCGAAATGCATGTGAAATGCTATTATCTTTCTTTATTTCATTGACTGATCCGGGGTGTGGGGACTCTCATGTTAATTTCTACATATTCAGGCTCATTTTCCGCTAGAAAACTTACAACTGCAGTCATGCACAACATGGAATTTTAAATCACTAACAAACACTAAGTTTTAGCTAACATGATGATTTCATGCTAGTCGGACTCGTACCTGCAAATGTTGTCCATCAATTAGTGATAAAAAAAAATTGCTGCGCTGGTGGAAACAACACGAGACCGTGCTATCGCGACTGTCAAGAGCGGCTCGACGGTGTTTAGTGTCCCGCAGCAGCAGCATGCGTGCCGTCAGCGCAGTTGAAGAGATCTGCATTTAAATGCATGCAATAGGCTAAAGCTTGCCGCAAAGCTCCAGCAAAAGTAATTACCATGAATGTGTCATGGGGAAATAGTAAGGAGATATTTGAATTATTTACTATTAATAAACTAGTGTTTTCTGAGTCGGTGTCGCAAGGATGAAGTTGCTGGCGATCCTGACTCGCCAAAAATCAGAGGAGATGGCGAGAGAAGTGAGAAGTGCATCTTTACGGATTATGATTATAATGAAAGAGTTTTTGTTTTCAATTTGTTTTATTTCGTTATACTCTGAGGGTCTTTGCTGGCCACCTCCCTCTTTATTTTGTTATCTTATTGTATTGTACTTGTTTTGTAAGTTACTGGTAAAGACGTGTGATGTATTGAGACCTTGTGAAGTGTAGCATGTGTTTTTATTAATTGTATGGTAATAAAGTGATTTTTGTTTATATCTGTCTATCCTTATGCTCACCCTGCCTTTGGCAACGAACCTGTGTCCCTTTGCTTAGGGCTGTTATGTCCCGGTGTATTCTGGGTGGCGTAGTCGACTATAGGATTTCTCTTATTATTGGTAATTTTCAAACTCCTGACCACTTACTGCCACCTTTGGCGTAGTCAGCAGGGTCGCCATAGTTCAGGGTGAGCTTTTGTTTTTTTTTCTTGCAGACGTGAGAAGGGCATTTTGACTTTATATTTTGTAGGGGATTGTATTGCATGTTGTGTCCTTCTTTTAGAGGCAGAGCAGCACTGCAGGTCCTTTTGTGTGTGAGTCTCCTTGGATGGGCCCATCTATAATTGGTGAGTGGTAATGGGAAGAGGAGCTCCTTTCATAGAATGCATGTTATGTCAAATTCAGAAACCCCTGGGTGTGATAAATTGTTGAACAGGAGGTAGGTACTAGGTAGTTGTTTAAGTTACTGGTAAAGACGTGTGATGTATTGAGACCTTGTGAAGTGTAGCATGTGTTTTTATTAATTGTATGGTAATAAAGTGATTTTTGTTTATATCTGTCTATCCTTATGCTCACCCTGCCTTTGGCAACGAACCTGTGTCCCTTTGCTTAGGGCTGTTATGTCCCGGTGTATTCTGGGTGGCGTAGTCGACTATAGGATTTCTCTTATTATTGGTAATTTTCAAACTCCTGACCACTTACTGCCACCTTTGGCGTAGTCAGCAGGGTCGCCATAGTTCAGGGTGAGCTTTTGTTTTTTCTTTTTTTTCCTTTCTTGCAGATGTGAGAAGGGCATTTTGACTTTATATTTTGTAGGGGATTGTATTGCATGTTGTGTCCTTCTTTTAGAGGCAGAGCAGCACTGCAGGTCCTTTTGTGTGTGAGTCTCCTTGGATGGGCCCATCTATAATTGGTGAGTGGTAATGGGAAGAGGAGCTCCTTTCATAGAATGCATGTTATGTCAAATTCAGAAACCCCTGGGTGTGATAAATTGTTGAACAGGAGGTAGGTACTAGGTAGTTGTTGCATCGAGCTGGAATCCTTTTAGTTTTGCTCACTGGTTGTTTGTTGGAGGTCTTGCAGACGTGAGAAGGGCATTTTGACTTTATATTTTGTAGGGGATTGTATTGCATGTTGTGTCCTTTTCGAGGCAGAGCAGCACTGCAGGTCCTTTTGTGTGCGAGTCTCCTTGGATGGGCCAATCTACAATTGGTGAGTGGTAATGGGAAGAAGGGCTCCTTTTTATAGAATGCATGTTATGTCAAATTCAGAAACCCCTGGGCGTGATAAATTGTTGAACAGGAGGTAGGTACTAGGTAGTTGTTGCATCGAGCTGGAATCCTTTTAGTGTTGCTCACTGGCTGTCTGTTGGAGGTCCTTAGGTGGGAATGGGAGGGAACTCCGAGGGGGGCCTGGCATCAAGGTTAGTTCTTTGTGCCTGTAATGTAGTATGGGGCGCAAGGGAGAATGTTGTTAGAGGCCCATGGTGCCCGGGTAGAGCTAGGCCCGTCAAGGGAACTGTCAAAATTGCAGCGAGTCCAATTGGATCAGCTCTTTGGAACTTGTGGCTGGGTCATAGGCCAGGAAGTGTCACTATACCCCTCGTGTTCGTGGTTCTTAATAATGGAATTGGTCCTCCTGTGGTAAATCCCAAGATGACTTGAATGTTTGCGACCTGGCCATTTTGCCAGGAAGTGTAATGGGTAGGTTTGCACCTCACCCTATGTCTTGTAAGGTCCCTCCTATATTTCTGGTGCAATATATCGCACAACAAAAAGTTGAGCAAGACAGGACAGTTACAATATATTATGATTGTTAAAAAAGACCTCTAACCATCATAACCAAATTAGGCTACACTTGTTGTCATATTAAATATCTCAATACACATAATTAGATATGACATTAAGCACAACTTGTGTATATTTATTTAGTAAAAAGGCTTGACTGCTTCATTTTGGCGTATATTTGTATACTTTTACCATTTAATCAATCTCAGCATGTGTTAATTGTGTCGCTAGACATTTGCATCACTAAGACTAAATTATGCCTTTAGGGCTGTTATGTCCCG